AGGAATGTTGCCAATTCATCAAGAATTTCGTTTGTCGTTGGAACCAAATCTCTGTGGATATTTAACAGAGCTAACCCATTTAGAAGAGATTCGGAAGTAGTACTTCGTAAATATTTTTCAACCTTCTCAAGTTGGAAAAAGTTCTTTCATTCGTACATGTTGTTATGCAAACATGCAAAAATATAAAGCAATTTCAAATTATTAGGAAATTGAGCCAAGGTTTCTTTACACCGATTGAGCGCATCAATAGCATGCCCAGGTAAAATAGCTAAACATAATAAATATTTATACCACAATTCGAATTCACTGATTAAATTTATTTCAGTATCAATATCATAGGAATAAAATTTTGCTAAATATTTAATTTTACCAATAGTGGCATTAAAAAACGAAGAAGGATCTTTGGGTAATAAAATTTGAAACTTATTTTTTTATCTAAAACCCGTACTTTTATTTGCGATAAAAAAGTATCTAAGAATGGGATGAAAATGGATATTTTATAATATTCTTCAGTTGAGCCCATATTTATTTTACATCTCAATAATTGTCTAGGTGCTAGACGAGGTATAATTAGTGTTATATAATAAAATTTAGCCTTCGATTCAACGTGTAGATAATATTATGAAAATATTCATCTATATTCATTCTTATTGTATCTATCTGTTCTATATATTTTTCGCCAAATCAATAACCTGAACCAAATCTAAATTTGGTTTTTGTAAATTTCTACAAAAACTCTGATTGATTAATTGAATTCAAATGATATAGCTTCTGACGACGACACATTACTTTTTTCATGCTCAGCCTTATTTAACTTTTTATTTCAATTTCTTCTATTCTACAAAATGGAAGTAAAATATTTAAAAAATTATAGATATTTATTAATAATTAAAATATTATTAAAAATACTTATTAATTCTAACTCACTAATAATTTTGAATTTAATAAAATAATTATATATAATAAAATAAATAACCGTTTGATTTCAATTTCTTTGACTAAAAAATATTTCCATTTTATTAATATTTTTGAATAATGTTAATATACTCACAAGGAAAGGAAATTTTAATATAATTTATTTATAAAAAGTAAGTTTTATGTTGGAAAATTGATATTCAAAATTTGTAAAATTTTAATTGAGGGGCCCCCCCCCCATTGGTTACGCGCCTGAATACATGTTTTTGAAACAAATTTTTAAAATACCTTAATTTTATTATATTAATTATTTGCAATTTTTCTAAATCAATGTTGGTCATTCCACGTCAAATGAGCAAAAAAAGAGATTTTCAGCAGACCCCCTTCGATTTTTAAAAATTTGGTAAGCAAAGGTTAGTGTAGTTAAGAAATAGCCAAAATTTTAGCCTCCTAACATTTATATTTTTGAAGATATTAGGGTTCAAAGTGGAAAAAATGACGTATTTTTACCATTATCTGCCTTCATTCAATTAAGCATATCTTCAAAACAACATAATTGTAAATAACAAATTTAATATCAAAATTTCGTAGAGATTCTACCTTTAGATAAAAAAAAAATTTTTCCAATTTCCGGGAATTTTATTTAATATATAAGGACTAAAAACGATTTTTTGGAAATAATACGACCTTCAATTTTTTAAAAAAATTTAGTAGACATTACTAAACTCTTCCTTTATATTTATAAAAAAAATTGGTCTTGGACGCGGCATCTTCATTCTCAAAATAAAAATGTATAAAAAAGTGTAAAAATATTTTCCCGATAGGGGGTCTTTGTATAGAATATTAATCAGTTTTAATGGTTTTTCTTGAACAATTTGATATAATTTAAAGGATTATTCATCTTAAAAGTGAAAATAACAATAAATGGGGCTTTCAATCAATTATAGAAATTATTATCGATAAAGCCTCACTTGTAAATTAAAATAGCAATAAATGAGTGTTTCAATCAATAAAATAAATAAAAATTGATTAATCATTCAATAACCATGCTCACTAAAATCCTAAATATGGATTAACGAGCGAAATATAGATCCAACAACTGATCTAACAGAGCTAAAGAACGGAATGTAGAGCAATAGATAAGCGATTTAATAGGATTTACCAGAGTAACAAGCAAAACTATGTATTCTTAGAAATGGCATATTAATCTTTCATTCTTTTATTTCAACGCAACAATCGTTGTATCATACGAAGGTTAATATTTAATTTTATGTGATTTATACTTCAGGATGAAGTATAAAGTTATCATTGGAATAGGGCTCAATCCACTCTTCACCCTTTTGTTACTGATTAATTTATAATTTTATACAAAGACGCCCCCTTTCGGGAAAATATTTATATTATTTCTAAACATTTTTATCGATTTTGAGAATGAAGATGGCCGCGTCCCAGACCATTTTATAAATATAAAGGAAGAGTTTAGTAATTTCTATTAAATTTTTTTTAAAAATTGAAGATCGTATTATTTCCAAAACTCGTTTTTAGTCATTATAAAAATGGCTGGAAATTGGGGAAAAAAAAGTAGAATCTTTGTACGAAATTTTGATATTAAATTTGTTATTTACAATTATGTAGTTTTTAAGATATGCTTAATTAAATGAAGGCAGATAATGATAAAAATAAGTTATTTATGCCACTTTGAATCCTTATATCTTCAAAAATATAAATGTTAAGAGGCTAAAAATTTTGCTATTTCTTAGTTACATTGACCTTCTTTGCTTACCAAATTTTAAAAATCGAAGGGGGTTGGCCGAATCGTGGTTGGTTTGTTATGGAATGACCCTGTTACAAAAACATTTTTATTGCTTCTTAATCTTACACCTACAAAATAAGTAAGATATGGATAAAATTTGGTTAAAGATTATAAATCAATGCGAATATCGGACTTAATTTTTTAAAATCCATATAGGCACATCTACCTCCAGAATAAATATTTTCGATTTCTAGGTCAATATTATATCCTAGAAATGGTAAATGTATGAGAAAAAACACAGGAAGAAGCTATTCTATTCGTTTCTTTTACTAAATCATAGCTATTTTTTATTCAAATGTGTTAATAAAAATTATTATTTTTAGCCAATCAAATAGTGCCCATATTTGCAAATAAAAAAATAATTAGAAACGATTAAATAACAAAAAATTCAAAGATGAAGATCACGCAAATATTGATAGTGAATGTGATATTATAATCGAACATTTTAATATATTCATTTTCAATTTCGAAGGATAGTAAATATCTTAAATCAATATTTGTATAAAAATTATAAATAAATATAATATATTTTAAAAAACGGAAAATATAAAACCCGAGCCGAGGAGAAATTATTTTAAAAATCTGGGCTGGGCCGTGTAAATGGTATCTCTCCAGGTCTCTGGTTTATATATCCTTTCTGAAGATGAAAATTATGTGCTAGCCAAAAAGCATATACCTAGTGTTGCGTAATCGGCTAAAAACTACGCCTAAGCTAAGCCTAAAAATCGGCTAAGGCTATTAGGCTAAGCCTAATTAGGTAAGCCTAAAAATCGGCTAAGCCTAATTAGGTTAAGCCTAAAAATCGGCTAAGAAAATATAAATCTGCTAAAATTAAACTAGTCAAAATTCTGCATCGATGCTTAGTATTAATTATTATTTATTAATTTTAGTAAAATAATTTATTTTATTTATATTTAATGTAAATATTTTATTATTATCAACAAATAAACATGATATGATTTAATATTTTTTATTTATATTATTATATTTTGAAATGAAAATAAATTTATTTATTTGATGTTATTTTAATAAAAAAAATAATATGCTGCTATATTGTAAAAATGTAATATTCTTTTTAATATAATTTATTAGTGATTTTCACAATCTTCTTTGTAAATACATCTTTTATTGAGAAATTATATTGTAAATTTTATTAGATAAATTAAACAATCTTTTAGGTGAAATCTTTTATAATTTTTTTAAAATTATCTATTCTTTATTAAATGAGGTGGATTTTATGAAACTTTTTTGATGATTTTATATGATCTTTTTAAGGATAATATTTTAATGTGACAATTGTCATAATCGTTATTTTATAAGTTTTTTGAATTTTTTTGAAGAAAATAGGTTAAAATAAGTATTAATAACATGTGTAAATATAAATTTGGTGAAGATGTACCAATGAAAAGTGACAATTGTCATAATCGTTATTTTTAAAGTTTTTTTAATTTTTTTGACGACAATAAGTTAAAATAAGTATTAATAACATGTTTAAATAAAAATTTAGTGAAGATGTACCATAGAAAATTGACAATTGTCATAATCGTTATTTTATAAGTTTTTTGAATTTTTTTGAAGAAAATATTTTATAATAAGTATTAATAAGATGTTTAAATAAAAATTTAGTGAAGATGTACCATAGAAAAGTGACAATTGTCATAATCGTTATTTTATAAGTTTTTTGAATTTAACAAATTGACTAATTTATTTTAGCCAATTTTTAGGCTTAGCCCATTTTTAGGCTTAGCCTAATTAGGTTTAGCCGATTTTAAAGCTTAGCCTAATTAGGTTTAGCCGATTTTTAGGCTTTACCTAATTAGGCTTAGCCGATTTTTCCACCTAAAATCTCAGCCAAGCCGTTTTTTAGTCGGCTAAAATTAGCCGATTACGCAACACTACATATACCGTTAAAATTTAACATAATGGTGGGATAGGCAAAGACACAAAGATTATATCTCAATGTCGATAAAAAAATTATTAGTAAATTTCAAATCCAATCAAATTTCTATTTAAAATTGGGTCAAAGTTTAATTTCTGGTTAAAATAAATAAATGAATAAAAAAAAATATTAGTTGAGATTCCATCTGACGAAAAATTTGGCTTCTTTTGCTAGGATGCATCTCGTCAAAATGATATTCAATTAAAATTAGCATTGGAAAATAATACCTGCTTAAAATTTGATTTTTTACAATATTATAATTTTTATTAGAATATAAAATACAGCTGAAGGGGTAAAGTTTGCCAATACCTAAGAAAATGATTTTAATATAACCTGATTTTGGTGTACGTTTAGAACGTTTTTGGGAGGATAACGAAGCTGATTTGTGAGATCTCTAAAATATTAGTCAAATATAGAAAAGACAATTAAACGAGGGAAAAAATAGTTATAATTTTTTCCATTTTATTTGTCTTTAAAAAACCGTTTTATGCGAAGATCCGGAATTTAATTTTTTCTCGTGTTTAGTAACAAGTCCATTAGGCGACACGCTGCTTCTTGCCCTTTTAGGACCTTAAATTTATAAATATATAAATACAATAATTAAGTTAAATGCGTATTTCTACATGGCCCGTTTTTGCCAGAATTAATTTTTTTGATGATTCGTAAATAAGAAAGGAAAATTTCATTTTGCAAAAATCTTTTAATTAGAAAGATTTCAGATCAAAAAATGAAGCTGCTCTCCCTGACATTGATGGGCAATAAGCAAGCCAAAAAACGTCGCCATATATTGTTATCACGCCAGTGTGTCGCAGATTTCACAAAGGCAACACACAGCTTGGCACTTAAATTTTTCCCAGTATAAATTTTTATTTTAAAGTATTGTTATTCTAATGTATGCTTAACATCCTTGCTTTGTATAAAATTATTATATTTAATTATTAATATTGTCATTTGGATCATCATATAATCAAAAAATTACAAATAAATGGAAATTATTTATAAATTTAATAAATGAGGATGCAACAACATCCATATTAAAATAATAATTTAAATTGCAGTAAGAAATAAAATGTATCATTTGTATGAAATTTTGAATATTAATATTTATGAAAATTCTTATTCATATTTATTCAATAAATTTTCACAAATATCATTGTCGTTGTTGCCTAGAAATAGCTATCGCAAAAGATAATGATTCAAATAATCCCTTTTCATAGTAAGTTTCCCTAAATGATAATTTTCTTTATCCTAATAATTTCTACTTAAAATTATAATATATTAAGTTTTGAAAATAATCTTCAGCTTAACCAAACTCTTCAGTAAACATTAACACATAAAATTTTCTAAAAAACATGCAAATGCCTAATAACATCAAAGATACTTCATCAAAATACCGTAAGCTATGTCATATCTTATAAAATGGCTTCTGGTAATATATTACATATTAATTTTATTATGCTGTACCGACTTGTTACCTTCCTTTTTAATAAATTTACTAGGTATTAACAAATATATTTATATAGACATGTATTTGCTATATGATATAAATAAAAAATAAATGATAATTTATCTTATAAATTTTAAAAAATATTTTTTTGATATAGATCATCAATTCTATTTCAGATTTTTCAGCGGTGGGTCTATTTATCGCTCGGCTGAAAATATTGCACGGCTAGAAAATATCGCTCGGCTAACCACATAATAAATCATTTATTACTAAATATAGCTCGGCTAGTAAATGTCGTTCGACAAACCACATGATAAATTATTTATTACTAAATATCGCTCGACTGGGAAATATCGCTCAGCTTAATAAATTATTTATTACTAAATATCGCTCGATTGGGAAATGTGGCTCGGCTAACCACATAATAAATCATTTATTATTTAAATTACGCTCGGCTAATTACATAAAAAAAATTTATTACTAAATATCGCTCGGCTTATATTTATGTATTTAATTTCCAAACATTTTCCAGTGGGTTTTCACTTTTATAATATTAATTGAGAATTAGTTTATAAATAAGATAAAGGTTTGGACAGGTGTAAAAAATTATCTATTCGATATTTTAGCTTCAATACTTTTATAAAATTAAAATTGCTCATATAACATTTTTTATTTATTAAAGTAAAAGAAATAATATTCTATCCGCTAGATGGCGTCTTTAAATTTTTTATTATAATATTTAAAAATAAATTTCGCCATATTCTATCATGATGACTAAAATATTTATGATTTTTTTTATAGCATTATCTATATTTTGGTAAAAAATTAGTAGTCTTTTTTAAATTTTGCAATTTTTATTAATCAGATAAATTAATAACGATGGTAATTCATTTTATTCATTCATATATAAATCATAATTATTTTTACCAAATTGATATATAATGTTATTATAATATAATTATTGCGTTCATAAAATATAATTTGTTCGGCAGATTTAAATATACATTTAGGATAATAAAATTATATATATTGATGAAATAGATTATGAGCAGGAAAAAATTGGGGAAAAATAAGGAATTAAAATTTATAAAAAATATTTTATCGAGTCCTTTCTGCTTTAATTCTACGTCGCTGATGTGGTTTTTTTGAGCCTTTTGGTTTTAAAACAGATAAAGTTTTATCTAATGAATGTAATTTATCTTTGCTTTGACTATTAAGTAAATTATTTAATGTATCATGATAATCTATCGATTCGGGTATTAAATAATTGCGATATTCATTATTTAAAAAATATTCTCCTTTTCCTGAGAAGGATCTTTCAAATTCTTTTTCTTGTAACATTGTGATATCCTTAATTTTTTGATTAATTCTTTTAAAGGACGTTGTTTCCAGTTTATATATGATTTTAAAACATGGTTCATAGATTCGCAGTTGTTATTTGTCCATAAACAATTTATTATTTTATTTTTTAGGGGAATGTAAACATGTTCATAAATTACTTTTTGAAATTTATTTTTTATATATGGCAAAAAAATATTTAAATTTTCATTATTACAATAATTGTATAAATCGTTTAATTTATCATTATATATTTGGTCATTCCGAGAAAATAAAATCCCATTAAAAGAAAAAATATCCTGTATAATTTTTTTAGACATAAAAGCATTTACACCTTGTTTTTCCGACAAATATTTTCTTATATTGTCTTTTAAATGACGTGTGCATATTAAATGAGTATTAAATTTAAATATTTCCTGAATAGGTTTACTATAGCCTTTTCTTGGTCACTACCAAACATGATATTTTTAATATTTATTTTATTTTAAATACAGAATGCAAATGAGAGAAAAAAGTATGATAAGTGGTCACATCAGAATCTCCATGCAAATATATTGGTCCTAAAAATATAGGGGATTCATCTGTTTTATATCTCTTAATGCTATATGTTTAAATACTATAGCAGTTAGGTATAGATCACCCAAATTAAATGTTTTATCAACGCCTAATATACAGAAGTCAGATTGGTTTGACAAAAACTTAATAGTTTTAATAATAAAATGAGTATAACAAATTATCGATGGTGTTTTCTCTTTGATGTGAATTATTGATTGAATAAATGGCGAAATATGTAGATCATTAGTAATTTGTAAAATATTATCCACAAAATTTAGAGGTACTTTTGTATCTTTTTTAAGTTTATAATTTAAGTTATAAATTTGTTTTATATTTTTTGGTTTAATTGGGTCTTTTTGAAATATATAATTATTATAAATATTGCGACATGTTTGATTGTCCTTTATTTGATTTCTAATGTTTGATAATAACTGATTTGAAGTCCGTACATAAGGATTTACAATCTTTTTGAAATTCCCATGGCAAGCGGGACCTGGCCATTGTCCTATATATTCCACTAAATATATATCTTTGAAATCGTAATTAGGCTTTTCAATAAAATTAATTTTTAAAATTCGGCGTTTATACTATTTACTTCTCTTTAAAATACTATAGTATTTATAAAGAACAAATATTTTTGGTTAAAGGTTGAGGTTCTATTTTTTTAAAAATTCTAGAACACCTAGATGAGTGTCCTGCCTAAATAGGCCATCTTTAAAAATATACGGACCTTGAACAATATCATTATATATATTATAATATAATTTTCTTGAGCTTGATTTTGAGCATGGAGCATGTCCATGGCCCACAATCATCTATATATAAATTTTTATTCTTATAATTTGTAAAATTATTATTAGAAATTAAAAAATACATATTATATTTTATACCTAAAGGTATTTCGTGCAATATATTATTGGGAGAAAGCAAAATTTTTATGGATTTTACAATGTTTAAAAAAAACCCATAGTTTGGATGACCTCCTTCGGCTATAATATTGTTTAAAAAAAGGTAAAGATTTTAATCGGATATCTTCGCTACATGGTTTTTTTAGAATATTTTCTATCGAAAATGATAAATCTTTTATGATATTGTTGGACAGTTGGGGTTTTTTTGTTAATGTATTAATATAATTATTTGGTATGAGAGATACAAAGTGATTGATTCTAATATTAAATATATCATTTGGACATATGGTAGATGTCCACATGATTAAAATATGAGGCTTTAAACTCTGGCTTACACCCCTGCCATAAAGGATATCGGTAAAAGCCTTTAATGAATTTGATGGGCAAAATACGTGAATTGGTTTGCCAAGAGCAGCACTTAATGCGCATATATGAATTTGTTCAGCCCAAACATTTATATTTAGAGCCGAATCGAGTATCTCATAATACTCATTCACCCATATATTTGGATTAATTTTATAGTTTTGGAAAAAAATCAGGATGGTTTTTATCATAATATTGAGGATTCATAATTATTTCTATTGCAGTTATCAGTCTTAAAAAAATATGATGTATTTGTGTTTTATATAATGACATTGAAACCGCCCGGTAAAAGCAATTACCATCAGATTCAATTTCCTGCGGAATATAATTTTCTAAGATTGGAGATTGCGCCATTTGTATAATTTTTTCACTTATAGAATCTTTTGATATTTTCTTTAACGTTATTGGTTGTGGATCTCTTAGTTTATTTTTTTCTATTAAGGCCATAGCTGGATCTCTTTTTAATCTGCAAAAAAAAAAATTTTTTTTCAAGTGATGAATCTTGAGTAAATAAAAAGAACGAAGATAACCCTAAATCAAATAAGATTTCTATAAAATGTAACCATATCAAGGTTTTATTAAAATTGACTAAATAAAATTTCTTGATATCAAATAAAATTGCCAAAATCTTTGATTTCCAATTTGGATGTATGAAAATGTGAGTGCTCTGTCTGAACCCTTGTGCGAATATTCAGAGTCGGCACACAACATTGGGTAAAATTAATATTTATATTAATATTTTTTAAAACTATTCAAAAACTACCCTACCAGTCTAATTTCCTAATAAAAACAGCGATTTGTCAAATTTTATTAAATTATGGCCCTAGAATGATATTATATAGTTCCATATTGTTTTTTTAAATGATGGTCACCAGAACTCCAAATGATAAATATTTTTACGGTGAATTCTTAAACTAAATATAAGATTAATTTTAATAAAAAATTTGTATCTGTTATTT